GTTTATTTGATCGAAGTATATCAGGCTGATGAGTGGAGTGCTCATGATATTCCACAATTGCATAATCTCTTCGAATTGCTTCATAAGGAGTTAACATTTCTTCAAAAAAATTCAAGAAACAGTGAATTTTAATCTTTTTTAACTAATTCCGCTAGTGCCCAGGATGATTATTAGTGCTTTGAACCATTCGAATGTTTGCTCTGACTCATCTACAACCCATACTGGAGACCCTGTATCAGGACTGAAGATTTGTCCTGAAGATAACTTTTTTTACTTTTATCAGAGTAAGTCTTTTTAATTTATTGTCCAGTTGCCAGTGGCCAAAATGTTTTTCTTCACAATGTCAATTGGCGCTGCATAACTAAGGAATATCCTGGAAGAGAACAATGGCCACATTCCATCAGTGGTTTAGTTATCGATCTCGAGCAGGTTCCCATGGATAAGGTACGTGTATGATAAATGTATTATTTTCCTCATGTGCAGGATCTTACTTCATTTTCCAACATTCTAGACCACAAGGGAACGTTTGCGTTATCTTGGTCACATCCCACTTGGGTGCCCCATAACTATTGTGGAGCTTGATCTGGTTGCGCCAATTTTAAGTAAAGAAACATTGGATTTCTTTGCCCATGTTTTGGATTCCCGACAAGCAGGTCGGAGAAAACGAGCCGAGCATGAACAACATCTGACTAAATTGAAGGAGATATCAGAAAATAGAATCCCTAATTTGCGTAAGTTATGAGTTACATCCTTGTTACATTCGTCTTCCTCTAACTAAAATCTCATTTTTCCAGCTCCTGGGTTTGTACTGTCTGGTCCTGCAACTCTTGATGGTAAGAGCACAAGCATTATTTCTAACGATTTTCCTTTACCTATTCATACCTAGATTCAACTTATGAAAATTGAGCACATTAAACCTTATTTGCTTCTTATTCATATAAAGACAAACCTAAAGACTCTGACTTCGTTCCCCTTTGCGGAACAATAATCAAGCAGCCTGTTAGATTGCACAACAAAGTGTCCTTTGCCGAGGTATGATTGTTTAGTCCAACA